GTTGCAGCCGTCGTTGTTTGGTGGGCCCGGGCTGGATTCAAACCTGCCAGCTCAGGTATATGTGGCTGGTGTCTTAGCTGCTTGAGCCACAGGTGCCGAGCCATCCATCCAAATTTTATGTGGGTATTAGGCCTGAATAATCAGCCATGAAATCAACACAAGTCCATTTAGCTGTCAGTTCAGTGCTTACTTCTCAACTAGTTAACTCAGTTAACCTAGCATGGATGCTAAGGATCAGCATTTCAGTTTAGAGCTCTGGATGGCTTTAATAATTTTTCATTAAAATATTCATGACTAACAAGTCAGTATAGCTGGAGACTTGTGTTTAAATCATAAAGGAGAAAATATGAGTGTGAGTAGCTTAATACAGATTTTCAGTAGTTGAACTATTATTTATTGTGTGCATGTTGTGGGTTAGAAACTGTTTTAGGCACTGGGAATACAGCAAGTAGCAAGTCAGAGGAGACCTGTGTTCTCATTGAGCTCACATTGTGGTGTAAGTGTTGGAAGGGACAGATAACAGATCATAAACAACTTAATAACTAATTGAATAAGATAATTTATTATGTATATAATGAAGATAAGATCATTAAGGTAATGTTTACAAAAGTGTGTGGTGTGTAAGTTTAGAAAAGAGTGTACCTTGAGTCCTCTTTGAGGAGGGGACATTTGAGGAAACTTGAACAGTGAGAAAGAGATCATGTATATCTGGGAAGAGAGAGCCAGGAGAGGGAACTCCAAGTGTAAAAATGCTCATTGTGAACCAAGCTTAACCTGTTCAATTAGAAAGAAGTCCTGTGGGCCTGAAGATGGTAGGCCATTGCCTAGCTCAAATCTAGAAACTCAAATTTTTTTTTTTTTTTGGAGACAGTCTCACTTTTTTCCTCTCTGTAGAGTGCTGTGGCATCACAGCTCAACAGTAACCTCAAACTCTTGGACTTAAGGGATTCTCTTGCTTCAGCCTCCCAAGTAGCTGGGACCGTAGGTGCCCGCCACAATGCCCAGCTATTTTTTTTGTTGTAGCTGTCGTTGTTTAGCAGGCCCAGGCTGGGTTTGAACCCACCAGCCTTGGTGTATGTGACTGGTGCCCTAACCACTGAGCTATGGGAGCCAAGCCTAGAAACTCAAGTCTTTATGGAGGTTTGCTAGCTCTTATTTCTTTGTGAGGTTGACATGTATTTGAGAATTTGTTCCTTTCCATTTTGAACCTAGTATAAAACAAAATAAAAATTTCAGTTTTCTCCTTCAATAATTATTGAGAACCTAAATTGTATGTCAGGCAGGTATCATTCAGATGCTAGAAACACAGTGATGAACAAAACAGAAATTTTAGTGCTCCTGGAGCTTATGTACCAGAGATATTTCATTAGAAGGCAGTGACAATTTTAATCCTATAAAATATTTGAAAGATTAATTGATGGAGTTAGGAATGCTCAATTCTCAACTCTTTGGAGTGGTGGGGTAGTGGATGATGGTGGTTTTCAAAATGCCTGGAGGTATTTGGTAGAAACCTTAATGAAAGTGAATAAAATTCTTTAGGTATAGTGGATGGAAAAACAGTTGGGGATAGGTATGATATGCCCTAGAGTTAGGTGTTTTTAGAATTGAAGAATGCTACATTTAATGTCTTAGGAGCTTGGCAAACTTGGATTAGCCCTGAGAATTTGTATTTGAGAAATTATATTGCAACATTTTGGGAAAAATAATAACTGCCTTACATGGCTGGCTTTATTTGCATCTGTGGGGAACAGAGATTTGATTCAAGCATATTTAATAGTATTGGTTATCTCAGTGGTTTTCATTCTTATAGATCTAGTATTTTATAGTTTTTTTGCCACATCCCTTATACTTTTGTCTCTTTAGTGATAATGACCTAATGGGGAAGTATATCTAATGTTATCTAATGTATGCTTCCTATGATCTTTTATTCTTTACTTTATGTTTGGGTGAGATAGATAATTATTTTTTTTTAGATAGAGTCTTACTTTGTTGCCCTCAGTAGAATGTCATGGCATCACGGCTCATAGCAACCTCAAACTCTTGAGCTTAAGCGATTCTCTTGTCTCAGCCTCCCAAGTAGCTAGGACTACGGGCACCTGCCCCAAGGCCTGGCTATATTTTTAGAGACAGGGTCTCACTCTGGCTCAGATTAGTTGCGAACTCATGAGCTCAGGCAATCTACCCACCTTGGCCTCCCAAGTGCTGGGATCACAGGTGTGAGCTACCACACCTGACCAATAGAAATTTCTGTTGTTGTTTATTTCACTTTTTTAGGATAAAATAATGTTTGTGTTAAAGGAAAGGCAAGGTTTCCTGTGAAATCACTACTATCTCCAGAATGTGTTCTTTATTGTAGCATAGGCAAAGAGTATTTGTTTCTATATTTTCAGGGACACAAGTACCAGTGAAAGTGAAGAGAGTTCTGATTCTTCTGATGATGAGTTAATTGGCCCTCCTTTACCCCCTAAAATGGTAGAAGAACCAGTTAATCTTATGGAGGAAGATATCATTGGTCCTTTACCTCCACCTCTTAATGAAGATGAAGAAGCTGAGGAAGAGGAGGAGGAAGAGGAAGAGGAGGAAGTAAGTATTTCAGAGGTAATTTCAGAATTTAGTACAGTAAAGTGATCAGTTCACTGCTTAATTGTTATTCATGAGTAAGAACCAATTTAAAAAAAATATTTATTGAGAGCCCTTATTGAAAGAACTTTAGGAGGAAGGAAATAACTAAAAAGTAATAATAGAGAGAAGCAAGCAATGTGTTAAAAAGAAGTTAATAAAATACTTTGTGAAATCTACATATTCACGGCTCGGCGCCTATAGCTCAACCACGTACACCTAGGGTGGCGGGTTCAAATCCCCAGCCTGGACCCGCCAAACAACAATGACAGCTGCAACCAAAAAATAGCCGGGCGTTGTGGCGGGCGCCTGTGGTCC